CAGGTCAGTAGGAGAATTATAATTTTATCAAGAACAGGAGAAAAAACATATTTAAAGAGAAGAATAAGAAAAAATAAAGGAGAAAAATCTAAGAAGGTGGAGGCGGGTATTAAAAATTGTTAGAAATAAGAAGGGCAACTTCTGTAGAGTTGGTATGTCAGGGTGACATTTCAGCTCAGGGTGGCTGAGAACAGATTGTCTTATTTCTCAAGTGCAGATATTTAAATCTCACAAGTAATATGAGTAGTAACACAAAGAAAGAGGAAGCATGGGCAATACAACAAAGTCTACCCTCCCAAAGTTGAAGCATTTGTAAACTGGAAAATAAAAGCACAAAGATTTTGTGATAGAGGGAGTGGTCCCTGGAGACCCTCAGCAGAGAACCATGAGGAGTGGGGAGGAAGACAGGGTAGAATCAAGGCTAGTGGGAGGTCAGGAAAAAAAAAAAAAAACAGAGTGAAAATATGAGAAACATATTAGCCTAATGATTTATTTTAATTTCTTTTCAGGGTGTAGAACAGGAATACATTTTTCTGTAGCTCAAGGGGATGGACAAGTAGAGAAGGAAAAACTGAACATACAAGAACAAGAAAATTACTAATCACACAAGTTCCCACATCAAGTGAGAGAAGAAGGAAGAAGAGTCACAAGTAGAAAGCTTAAAGGTAGAGGAATTCAAGATAATGTTTACAGTCTGACTTAAAAGAAAACAATAGTTTTAAAAAGGGAATTAGCTATAGATTATATATGATTTCTTTATGAATGTTATCTATTTCAATTTTTTATAGTTATAGCTTTTAAAGATAGGATCATAAATGGTGTCAATTTAAGTTTTCCCAAAGTATCTTCATCTACAAAAGAGGTTCCTAAAACCACGATATAACATACTTCCCTGTCTTTAATAAAATAAAGGAAATTCTGGGGGAATAGATTTTATAGTCCTCTCTCCTACTCTTGAAAGTTTCTGGCATTATAATATGATTTACTTCTGAGGGGTCAATACATTTTTCTTAAATCTTTTCAGTATTCTTTAGTAGGTAGTTTTACTAGAAAAAACTAACCATCTCAAACTGCCACATTTCAAACAGAGGCTGATTGTTCCTTTGATTAGCAATCATTTTACTTTTTGTGGTTTTATCATTGGATACTCTCTTGACAATTTCCAGTTGTTGAAATACTGTTTTTTTTTTTTTTTTCTCATTCCCTTGCTTCATAAATCACCATCAACTATTCATACAGAGGCAGGATAATAGTGCCAGGAAATAGGTCACCAAACATTGAGCCACAATTATAACTACCCAGATATAAATCAATCCTTTGATTTAGAAAAATAAATGTAAACACATTATTTTTTACTCTGTTCTAATGTATTATAAAATTTTAAGCTACTTCTGCATCCAGTCTCCCATAAAACTGGGACTGACACACTCATGACTATTAATATGAAGTGTGTTTCAAATTCAATTTTAAGGCATGCTAACTATTCTGAAAGGAAAATATATTTTGTATTTTATGGTTCCTTTCACTACAGCAGCTCAATTTAACCTATTTAAATTGTGTCATTACATTGGAAAGCTATTAAACCAAATATCAGTAAGGGATATTGCCAGAAAAGTAAACCATAGAAAGTATAAATGAGTTTTTCACCTAATGTAATAGCAATTTGTTTAATATCTGAGAATGGCATTTAGGACTCAAGACAGATGCCTGTGAATTCTAAATCAATTTTAAGTTAGCATGTCTGAAAAAAAATTATTTATCATATAACTGTAGAACAGGAATTTATAATTCAGTCATAAAATAAAAACAACTGGTTTATTATTTTTAAGGACAGAATTTCAAATCTCAAGTACTGTCTGGTTTGTTAATGTCAGAAATGATGGAAAATCTATAGTGGGTTAATTACCTTACAGTCTGTAAATTCAGTACTATTTCACTAGCATTAATACCTTTGAGAAAGTACTGAAATTAATTGCATTTACCAAATAACAGTTTTTAGGGAATTACACAAAGTGGAATTATTGTTTCTGAATTGCAGTTTAGACAGCTCCACATGTTGATTTTTGTTAATCTCTGAAAAATAAAATTTTAAATATTAGATAATGCTTTATGCAATTTACATAGCTTGAAAACAAATATATATTCAATAATAATATATTAGTTAATATGCTTAGCTATTGCAATATAAATTACATCATGAATATGTAATATACTTAATATTATAATTAGTAATAAGTAATACAATTAGTATATATGATATATAAATTAATAAAATATAATCAGTGAAATAGTTAATATACCATGTTTTCTATTTAATTTTTTTACAACTACTACTATTTCAAATACACCATATTTTATAAAAAACACCTTTGATCGTCATATGTTAACCTTCCAAATCCTTATTTGTCAAGCATGAGACGATATCACAGCAGTATGAGAAAACTGTTGAACGTTCAACATGCTGACATATCTTGCTAATAGATTCTCCCCACAGGGCCTCAAGTTTGATTTTATGAATCCAAAGCCTTTTGCAATACTACAGTGTTGTTTATAATGAAAATGATCTGGAAACAGAGAGAATATAGGAAGCTGGAGTTGTCACGCTCTTGGACAGAAGGTGGCAGCAGCTGAAGGCTCTGGACTGTCCTTCACTGCTGTTCTCTCTGTGCTTAATTCTTCACTCTCAACCATCTTCCTGCTCAGGTTGATTGCTTGCCTTCAGTTATAAAATCAATTACTGCTATAATAATGCACTGTGTCTGAATCTGACTAAATAACCCATCTATTCTTTACTAATTTTAATAAGCACCAATTCATAATATAACTTTCTATTTGAGATTGTGTATAATTTTTTACTGTTTGATGAGTCACTTTGTGTTCTAATGCACAATTTTCAAATGAACATAGCATGATGATGTTTTAATATCTGATGGATGATCTGCTCATTTTTTTCTTTTTTTTGAGACAGAGTCTCACCTTCTTGCCCAAGCTAGAGTGAGTGCCATGACGTCAGCCTAGCTCACAACAACCTCAAACTCCTGGGCTCAAGCGATCCTACTGCCTCAGCCTCCCGAGTTGCTGGGACTACAGGCATGTGCCACCATGCCAGGCTAATTTTTTCTATATATATTAGTTGGACAATTAATTTCTTTCTATTTATAGTAGAGACAGAGTCTCGCTCTTGCTCAGGCTGGTTTTGAACTCCTGACCTCGAGCAATCCGCCTGCTTCAGCCTTCCAGAGTGCTGGGATTATAGGTGTGAGCCACCGCACCCGGCCAGCTCATTTTCTTTTAAAAATATCGGCTGATCCATTCTTTATTCCAGGAAAAAAATATCTTTATCCATACTGTCAAGTTCCAAAACAAATCTCTTAGATTAGGATTGCCTCATTGCCTCATCATTGTAAAAATTAATAACTCTCCTACCAATAATTCTCAATAGTTCTCCTACCCAGGGGAGAAAAGGTAAACTTACTGAGGGGTTAAACTTGTCCCTCAGTAGGGTAATATAAATTTCTTTTTTAGGTCCTTCACATCCATATCAGCCTTATTTCTAGCATACATAAGGAAATTAAATTAAATAATAAAATAAAGCTAACAAATAATTTTTATTGTTTCTTTTGTGAATAGTATCTCTTTTCTCATTATTCTATTTCATTTTGCATTGTGCAAATCTAGTGACTTTCGTATGTTTCTTTTATCTAAAATAAACATTATTTTGAAGCCTCTTGTTACTGTCCATGAGTTTTCAGTGAAAATTTTGTGAATACAATCACGTATGATCAAGTTCCAATTTCCATGGTAAATGCTTTGAATTTATTATCATATTTAATCCTTACAAAAAAACCTTAGGACATACAATACTACTAAAGTTCAATATACACATATTTTAACTGACTGTAAAAATAAGGGAAAGAGGAGAGGGCCCTGTGAAAAATGCAAAGAACTGTCTGAAGAGAAAGTATTACAATTATTCCTCAATTACATCACCCATCTCCATGCCTCGAACAACTATTGCATTGCTCCTGATCCTTTCTTCCAGCAGTAGCTGCCATTTCTTGCCAAAAATTTGCATCAACATATCTAAAAGCAAGCTCATCGTCTCTCTCCACAGCCATTAAGTAACCTATTTGTCTCCTATGAATTCCTGTAACATTGTGTTTTATCACTTAAATCACTTATAAGCGGTGTTTGGTACATTCTTCTTCTCTCATCTGCAGGAAAATATAACCCTAGTAAGCACCTGCTTTATTTATAAACTTATTTACAGACTTATTTATAAATAAAGCATCTAAAGTTATTTATAAACCTTTGTAAGCTCTCACTGATCACAAGATAAATAAATTCCACCATCTCCCAGGTGGGCCCATATCCTGACCCAGGGGAAGTGAAGGCTGTCATCCATGGTGACAACATACAACCTTGCCACTTTGATGCCCTGAGTGTGGCCCAGACACAGTGAGCAAATTCCAGCTGCTTCCCTCATCAGAATACACCTCCAGGAGCAGCAAGTGCAGAATGTGGGTCTTTGATGGGACTAACACAGGCCCTGCCCAGAGAGGCCATTCCTAGGAAGACCAGGACTCTGTGTGAGATCAGAGTGCCATGGAGAAATCTGTCACTGATTTAAAATGGAGAAATTGAGGGCAGTTCTTCACCCAGGCACAACACAGAGGCAAACTACACCCAGGCTGCCCATAACATTTGTCCCTTTTAGTAATAAAGATGATCACCCAAATGATGAACCACTGTTCCTGAATTAGCCTATCGACCTGGAAGGGATTAGATACTCTTAAACCTAGTTGTTAGTTTCTTTATACATAAGCAATTATTGGCTCTGCCAATATTTTAGATTACTAATAACAAATACATTATATGGTTTTATCAAATGCCTCCAAAGGAGAAAAAACAATGTGTACTATTTTGGTGGCCCTTCACCTCCAGTACATATTTTTCGATGCCAGCGCACACGCGACCGTGTACCTGACCCAGACACTTACATCAAACTCATTCAGAGCCGCAGCCAGCTCGCCGATGCCCGTGTGGCCTTTGGCTTCGTCAGTGGGCGAGGTAGCTTGAGCAGCATTGGAGATGCCGGCGATGGCCTCCTGCACTTGTTTGAACACGTAATCTCGGTTGGCTCTTGTGGCGGCAACATCCGGATGGCGGAGAAAGGCCTGGGAGGCCGTGTACAGCATCGTGGCGTTCTTCTTCAGAGCTCCTCGGGCGGCTGCCATCTCGTCCCTACAGTGAGGGTCCTTCAGCTCCTGTGTGCACGACACATGAAACCTGTCACATCCGTGAAGTCTGCGTGGAAGTGTTCACTACGGAACTTAAGAGTTACAGGCTGTTAGAAACACATGGAACTTACGGAAAGCATCTACTCTCCTTTGTGCTGTCTCTAGCTGCCAGGACTTTATGTATATTGTTCTTTCTATGTGACATGTCTGAGCTTTCCTTCTCCACCCTACCCTGGGATCTGACAGAGCTCCACTTACCTGGCAGGTCCTCCACCCAACTCTTTAAGCTACGTCTCCTTCCATCTGTTCTTACAAGACACTGTTCCTCTCCTGTCATTAACACTCTGACTTTATTGTATTGACATATTTAAGCATGTATTTCTTTTCTATACTGTATCTCTATTGACAGCGGGGATCCGTGTCTATCTTGTTCAGTGGCTCTTTAGTCATTAGCACAATGTCTGGCCCACAAGACACATTCAATATATGTTGCTGAAAAAATGCAGAACCCAGGCCACCAAGGTAAGTGGATTGCATGGATCAAAGAGTTAGTCATCAACAGATGGAAAACCTGAACTTCAGCCTTCTGAGGCCATTTTCTTCTGTATTAAATTACAATGACTAACATGGGAAACCAAACTTCGGATTTCTGCTCAGCACATCAACACTATTTCATTATGAATCCTATTTCAAAATAGGATTTTTTTTAACTGCCTCTAATGGTAGCTCACCATTAAGTTTAGAGAATAGAAAATAATAGGCTAAAGATGATTTGTTTTCCTCATTTTGGATATCAAATAATACCACTGGGGAGTCTCTTTATTTTAAGTTTTAAAGAATACTGTTAAGAAAAGTGTTGGCACCATTTTTGGAAATTTTAAAGGCAGTGCTGCTCTCTGAGAGCCATGTATGACTGCTAGCTGAGTATCTCTGGGAGAATATTCTTCCAGCTTTAAAACATCAGTAAAGAGTATTTGGACTACTGAGGTTCTCTTCCTATTTGCTCATTTGATGCAGGATAGATAGATGACCTGGCAATGATGAATTACATCTTTTCTTTTGTTGGTCAAAATAATTCCCAGACAAGCACGTTATATTTGCTATCTACGATTGTCAAGATAAATTGACAATAAATGATAATTAATTAAACCATCTATTCTCCTTTGCTTAAGCACTAAAAGATTTATCCCAGTCAACACAATATATAAATTGGGATTATTTGAATTCTAGAGATGATAACATAGGTAACAAACATCTGACTGTGTTCTCTGTGCAAGACAATGATCTGGGTACAGGAGGCAGGTTTCTCCTAAATAGTCATTTACCCTCCAGTCTGTTACCCTCCAGAACACCTGGATCAGAAATTATGTTCCTGGGTATGCATGCTAAAAAAAATAAAAATAAAAATAAATTATGAAAGTGAAAAAAGGAGTGGGAAATTCTCTCCACAAAGATATCTGAAGAAACATTCTTCAATCATAAGAAAAGAACTGGAAACAATCTAAATGATGAAGTATAAAGAATAGGTTAACTAAACTACCAAGACATCCATTTGATGGACTATTTATGTGGCTATTAAAATTATTATACTTTCCAAAAAGCAATACCATGGATAATATTAATAAGATAAATGAAAAAGCAGACCACAGTATGCATACTTGCATATACAGTATGATTATAAATATGCTAAAATGTGAAGATAAATAACTTAAAGACAATATACCAAAATGTAAGCACCTTTTTTTTTGTGGGTGATAGAGTGTTATGTGTGTTTCATGTCCCCCTTATTTCTGAACTGCTATTTTTTAAAATTTTCTCTAAGTAGTCTGAATTAACAATTAATTAAAAATAGGTATTAATAAAATAAAAATAAATAATCTTCATGGATATTTTCACACGAACATCTCATATATTCTCATGGCTTTTCATTTTAGCCACATGCTGGTGACTTGTGTTTTCATCTCCAGGCAACCCCTGTCTCCTATTGGACAGTTCGATGTGGATATCTTACAAGCATCTCAAATCAACATATCTGTGCTGGGTACTCTTAGGTGTCGCTTTGGCTGAGTTGAGGGATGCTTAGACAGTTGGTGAAGCATTGCTTCTGGGTGTGTCCAGGAGGGTTTTCAGAGGAGGTGGCCTGTGAGTCAGGGCATTGAGTGGAAATGCTCTGCCCTCAGGTGCCAACCAGCCGGCTGTGGGCCCGGATAAAACAAAAAGGCAAGTGAAGGGCAAATTCTTTCTCTCTCTTCTGGAGCAGGACACCTTTCTCTTCCCCTCTCTGCCCCCTTAGAAACCAGAACTCCAGGCTCTTCAGCCTTTGGACTCTGGGGCTTGTACCAGCAGCCTCCTGGGGCTCAATCTCTATCTCTCTCTTTTTAGCGTAAATTTGCTCCTACCCATATTACATTTGGCTACCAGACGTGACTCTTTTTGAACAAAGAATTCTGCTGATAAAAAAATTTAAAACAATCACTTAAACTAAAATCATGTTTATGTGCCTGTCACATAAAGAACTAGACCAAGGGTCCTCAAACTTTTTAAACAGGGGGCCAGTTCACTGTCCTTCAGACTGTTGAAGGACCAGACTATAAAGAAAACTATGCACAAATTCCTATGCACACTGCACATATCTTATTTTGAAGTAAAAAAACAAACGGACAAAAACACCTGCATGTGTCCCGCGGCCCGTAGTTTGAGGACGCCTGAACTAGACCTTAGTCAGGTTTGTAATCCCAGCATCCCTCACTTGAGCCTGGCACAGAGTGAACACTCAACAAATGGTTGTGGAATGAATGGAACTTTCCAGTTAGTTATAGAGAAACTCAGAAACTGGGAATTGCCCAACATGTTGAAGAATTCTGGGAGTGGTCAAGAGGATGGGTGAAAGAATTTTAACAGACTCTTCCATATTTGGAGATATATTTTCTAGGAAGAAAGAAGGACTTACTTTTAAGGAACAAAATTCTAATGGTACCTAATGAGCAAACAGAACGGGCTAAGGGTGAGGGTGCTATCTCTAGACAAAGGGGAGGCAGAGGAGATCCCAGTCATACACCACCAGTGGGTCTCACGCTCACCTATGTTCTTCCTTCCCCTTCTTCCCTCCTTCCCTCCTTTCACCCCTCTCCCCAGTGCTCGCCAGCTCTCTCTCTGCCTTTCTTCTCATTTTGTTCATGTTTTTGTCCTCTCTTTCAAAAAAGTTTCACGCCACTTGCTGCATATCCTCAGTGTGTGCATACATGGTGGTGTCCACAGGGCTGGGAGATAAATAGTGATGTCAAAGCATGACATCCAGAGAGTGACCACAGCGACACCCCACAGTTTAATTTTTTTTTTATTTGACCTGGGAGCTGTTCCCACAATGGATGGAGGTTAGAGTATGGTGGGGCTAGCAGGCTAGTTGCCACCAGTGAAGCAGATAGTCAGTGGCCAAGTATAGCCAGAGGGTACCCTGGGGCCCACCATGGTATCACAACTTGCCCTAGCAAGAAACAGTCTTTGTGATGACAGGTTCTTAGAGCATTTGTTAGCAAGCAGATGCAGTTGATCCACTGTGCAGGCCTACAAAGCTATAAGGTTCTTTAAACTCATCCCTTTTCTCCCCTAGCACTTCCAAAATCTCTCCCACCTGTTGTCTTCTTGCTGCTACATAGTTAAGTTTCACCATCTCTTTTCCAAACTCTTTAAAGCGGTTTGCAAGGTCTTGCTCGTTGGTAGCATTTTTGACAGCCTCCAGGGCCTCCTCCACCTGAAGTGATAAAAAAAAACAACATATTTATAAGTGGATAGTATTTAAGTATTATTAAACATATTAGAAATGGTAATTTGTAAGAAAAAAAGCCACAAAACATTAATATTCAACATTAGATGAAATAATAGAAGAAAAGTACCCCTAATAATCATTTATAGTCAGATTAAACATTGGTTCAAGATTTACAGAATATTTTATATATAAAAGATAATTGCTGAACCCTAAAGCACAGAAAAATTCTGTTTATTGTATTTTATTGAATTATGATTTTAATAAGCAATGTAGACTTCTAATTTAAGTAGAACATTAAGAAAATATATTTAAGAAAAAATACTAATATGAAATTTTAGAACAAATTCTAGAAATCTTCAGAGGAGGAAGTGGTTCACAAATAAAAACTGGAGAAAATCCTGGGCTGCTGAAAATTTGGGACAGCTTGAATCTGCCACCAATTTTGACATCTCTAAATCTGGGACTTAAGGGGTTGTACTTTTAAGCTGAGTTTATGCCTTGCCATCCAATGGAAAGAGGAAATATTGAGCCCCTAGAAGCAAGTATTTTAATTTTCATTATCACTTGCAGGGGATATCAATTCTTGTGGAATGGGGGACAAAATGACAGCAAGCATGCTGCCCTAATGATGTGCTATGCTTACAAATCCATGAAAACCGTCTCACCGAGCTTTTCTAGAGTGGCATTGGATCTGAATTGTGAATTTCACCAAAATCACTTTATAGATGATTCAAATGTTTGAGAGGTACTAAAGTTTCCTCCCCTCCAAAATGATCTTAACTTTAATATGATGTGAAAATTTCCACGATTGGTAACCCTTTACATTTATAATATCTGTGCACTCGATTAAAACTAAAATCAAGATACTGTGGTGGAGTAATCCACTAAGTCATTTTCATCCTAGTAGCATCTTTGTAGAAATAATTTCACTGACAGAAATAGCCAAGAGCACAGTCCTGAGCGAATAAGGCACAAGGCAGTTACATCTTTGCAAAATCGAATGTTCTTGAACATTAAGGGGGTCTGGTAGAGAGGCCCCCAACTAGCACAGGCTGCTCAGAGAGGCAGCAGGAAAGGAGAGAGAAGGCAGCTCTGAAAGAGTAATGAGAATTAGAGGGAATGTTTGGGAAGATTTCAGATGGGCTCTTGTAGTTTCAGGCAAATTAAAAGACAATGTATAGAGAGTTCATTGACAATTCAGAAATACAAATGACTACTAAAATGACTGAAAATAATCATAGATTAACTCAGATCTGAACTGTAGAGATGCACCTTTGTCTAAGCTTGACACAATCACAAAGGTGGCTAATACAGCTTCCTAATCAAGTCTCACTGAGTGGAGGAAGAGAATAGTGTATCTAAATCAGTGATGATGAATGTCATCAAGCCTTTTATCCCACAGATATAATACCATTCAATTTACCAAATAGGCTAACACATTTTAGTAAGAAAAGAGCTGTAGCAAGCAAGGGAAGTTATTTAGAATGATGGTAGTGGAGCATCAATCTAGATGCCCCACAAAATTAAGTTTCCATTCTCATCTTCTATGGAAATTTTGCACCATTTTTTTCTTCCTAATTATAAAACTACAAAATGATGATGTAAATCCTCAATATTAGTCACGTCCAATTTCTATTCAGGCTCTAATAATGCTCAAGTTGTATGTTAGAAAGATTTTTAGGCACTCAAGTCAAATTACATTTTATGGTATGGAATGGCACATTTAAAACATTTTCATAGTTTAATGAGAATCTCATACCTCAGATCTTTAAAACAACCAATCAGTGAAGCCTTACATTCTAATAGATTTATAATCATCTTAACTTGGCTATCAACAGCATCATTGAGAGGACAGTTCTTGGCAGTTAATTTGTTCCTGCTGCTTATTTGAGATGTAAATCTCTTCTCAGGACATAAAAACTGGTTCCAGGGAAGAGCAAAATAATTATCTCAGAGGGAGCTAAATCCTGAATTTGTTTTTGAACATATATAAAACAAGTTTCTTATCAGTTGTTAATCAGACCAATTTGGAATATTTATTTTGTTGTGTTACACATAACTTATTTCCTCATTGGTTTTCTCTGAAGAATCCAGATGTCAGTTTGATTTTGTACTTATAATTCAATGACGTGCTTTTTTTTTTGAGACACAGTCTCACTCTGTTGCCCGGGCTAGAGTGCGGTGGCATCAGCCTAGCTCACAGCAACCTCAAACTCCTGGGCTCAAGCAATCCTTCTGCCTCAGCCTCCTGAGTAGCTGGGACTACAGGCATGGGCCACCATGCCCGGCTAATTATTTCTATATATTTTTAGTTGGCCATTTAATTTCTTTCTATTTTTTTTTTTTTTTTTTAGTAGAGATGGGGTCTCCCTATTGCTCAGGCTGGTTTCAAACTCCTGACCTTGAGCGATCCGCCCTCCTCGGCCTCCCAGAGTGCTAGCATTACAGGCATGAGTCACCATGCCAGGCCCAATGGAGTGCTTTTGAAAAGGAATACCAATGATGGGGTCTGTTTGTGAACAGGTAAACTTAGTTATACACAGAGTTTGAATGTAGTAGGATCTGAGAAGTCACCTAGTCAAAAATTCTCATGTAGTATCATGATTCAGAATCTGTCCAAGATCTCACAGAAACGAAGGGAATTGAACCAAAGTCTGGATTATGGGCACACCCTTCAAGTAGAAAGATAGATGAGAGATGGAGATGGATGTACGGATAGGTAGATAGATAGATTGATTGATTGATTGAATGGTGAGGGGAACATGAAGAAGGAAGGAAAAATAAGTTTAGTGACCAGACACTTTTAACAACTCAAAATTAATATAAACATAAAGTTTTCATTTTTGAACAGAGCCAATGATTTTTCTGGGCAGCTGGAGAAAGGAAATTGACTCTTATGAGACACACAAATATCTTGCTCTCAAACCTTCACTGTCCATTCATGAGTTCAGGGCTCCCAGCTGAGCAAAGTGCAGTTTTCATACATGAGAAAAGCCTGGGACACTTATCCAAAATACACCTGTGTGGGCCCCACCATGAGGGACATAAGTCCGACTGTGTGAGGAGGGTTACGGGGTCAGATTGATCAGGGTTTGAACCCTGGCTATGTCATCGGTTAGCTCTGTGCTCTGAGGCAAACTACTTAACCTCTATGACTTTCAGTGTCTTCAGTAATAAAATGAAGGTGACAGTGTCTACACAGTATGCAAAGTTGTTTTAAGAATTAAAGAAGATAGGAAATACAAAATATCAAATGCTTAGCAAAGTGCCTAGCAAAAATTGGGAGCTCCTTACATAGAGATACTGATCTGAATGCACAGTATCTGCCTCAGGGGCGAAAAGTTCCTAAATAATCTTGAAGAGGAAGATCTTCCTCTTATTCTTCGAATGTCTGCAGATGACAGGGGCCCTGGGAGGAGTGGAGGAAAAGCTGCAGAGAGGATACAGGAAGCAGGCTGATCATGATGGCTCTGAGAAGGGTGCTGGTTCCAAGGACAGAGCTCTTTGATAAGGGGGAGGTTTGGAAGATGCTTACGTTCTGGATTGGGAAATGATCCCCAGTGAGCTGACACAAAGGGACCTCTCAGGGGCAGCTGTCATATCCTTCCCCGCTAAAAATGCCCTCATTTTCTGGGACCCTACAGATAGGCTGGGCTTATGAACACCAAAACAAGAACTCTTTGCTGAATAAGGTATTCCTGTCCTTAATATTTTCAGCATAGATAAAGCTGAAAAGGCTGAAACTTCCAGAAAAAAACATTAAAATTTGTTCCTTAATTAGTGGGTTTAGATATTATTTTCAGAGCTTGTCACTGAAAACTCTTAAAATCTTAGTCTTTTCATGGGCTTGTTCCAAATAGCCCAGACACCCACCTCTAAAGTAAGCCTGTCTGCCACTATTATTTAGTCTGCAGCTGTATCAAGTCGTTCGAAATAGTCTTTCAATCAGTCTCTAATTTTCCTAGTTGAAACTGCACTTATTTACTTCAATGTAAAATAGTAGCCTGAGAATTCAATTTTTGTATTTATGAAGCATCTGGAATGAGGCAGCCTGGTATATGGGATGGGGTAGTAGTAGAGTGAGGGGTCTGATCCCTCCCCTAACCCCAACACTGTGTGGTCTGGTTCCCTTGTCAATGTTTACCGACCATACCCATGCTAGAAATCATTGTTCTTATGGTCATCATTTCTGTTTGGACAGATTGATCTTATTCCAGGGTTCTTGATACTCAGTTGATTGGATTTTAAATGACACTGATGAAACTATTTAATAAATTATACAAAACTTTCTTATTAGGGTCTGGGGTTTCACAGTAACAGCTAAACTAGAAATATCTATCTTGAAAATGGGAGCTGGCCAAGTGAATGAATGAATGAATACAACACCCTACAGCTAATTACTGTACTTATTTAGCCATATACTCTGGTTTGATCATGGGTGTCTCAACATTATCACACTTTCTCTTTCTGCCTCCTACAGACAGTTGGCCTTCTTGATTAAATATTCTCTTTTCTTGATAAGCTGGCTCCTTCTTGATGACATTTTCTTTGCTTATTAACAAGTGAAGAAAAAAGTGATTTCGTCAGAAAGCGAGAATGTTTAAATGCTGGCGTAATTTACCCTTAAAGTATCACATTTTACAAAGCACAGTAATATAGTTTATGATATATTTCCAAAGTTATTTTCAATTTGTACAAGCAAAATGATACCAGTCAGTGTCATCAAGTACTTAGGACGTACCAGACATTGTTCTAAATCAGCGGTCTCCAATGTTTTTGGCACCAGAGACAGTTTCATGGAAGACAATTTTTCCACAGACTGGGGGATGGGAGCATGATTTGGAGATGAATAAAGTGCATTACGTTATTGTGCAGCCAAACCCTCTGCCCTCTGCTAATGATAAACTGTATTTGCAGCCACTCGCCAGCACTGGCATCACTGCCTCAGCTCCACTGCTCAGATCATCGGGCATTAGATTCTCATA